CAGCAAGGGATGGACAACTAGGATACCCTGGGTCACAAGAGACAGACAATCGCAGTCACTGCCTGGCACAGGGAGGGTGGGGGAGCAATGATCCTTAGAAATAACATCCACTAGAAAATATGCTAAAATGACAAAAAGATTGCTACAAAATAAACACTACCTATCTCTTCCCATAAGTCCTCCTTCTTTATCAGAACAGTATTCGGGATCCCCTGGTTATACTTACATGCTTCATGAACTCAGGAGCAATTTTACCACAGGGTGAGACAAATGTGAAAGGATAGACAGATGCTCTGTTTCTAAGTCTGATGTCTCCTTCACACTGGATGCATGAGGCCACTAGTGAGTGCTAACTCTCCAGCATCATTTAGTATCTGGTCTCAGTACTGCTACATGTACCTGAGATGCTGTTCATTTCATTGAGTTTTGACTAGAATAAAGACAGAAGAAAGTGCGTAAGGGAGCACCCCACACTAACCAGTGATTATCAGTACATTTATTTGTAGAATGGAGAAAGCAGCAGGAACAAAGTCAGTGGGAATACCTTTTCCCTAGAGATCACTTGTACTTGAGATACTGTCAAGGAGTCCAAGAGGAAAGGCAAAGGAAATTCCTGGCCCCCCTGCCCTTCCTGATGTCCGTGAATAGCGCTTACTGAATGGTGCTCTGTAAGGCAGCAGCAATTCAGAGTGACCCTGATATTTACAGATCTGCGCCATGACAGTGAACCACTGGTTCCATGATTTAGTTGGTATGTTAGCCATGTTCCCCTCCAGGGACCACACCAGTCACACCTAGTGCCCCAGAGGGATCAGGTGCGCTGGGATGTCCACCTCAAATATATCCCTCCCCCCTTTCCTAGGTAAGGGCTCCAGTAACCACCTGGGGTTTGAGATCACAGTCAGGTACTTCTGCTCCAGGTTGCCCAGTACAGCTTGATTTTCCAGTTCCTCAACCTCACCAGGAGCTAAGTTCTCCGGGCACTGCAAAGTTTCCCCGATGTCAATGAGCCCTGTACACAGAGAGAGAAACACACAGATGGTTTTCCCTTCTACAAATCAGGCTGCATTTGACAATAGTCATTACTGTTACAATGGCTGGAGATCCAGATACACGAAAATGACATGAAGCTAGCTGAAGTCCTCTCACTAAGTACTGGGTACATGCCAGACTCTGCTCAGGGAATCCAATGCACAGGGAGTCCACAGAGGGCTCCACAAATGAACAGGGGAGGGCTTCATCCTCAGTGGTGCCACTACACAAGTGATGGTGGGATCCCATGAGATTTCTAAAGGTGGCTGTTACACAGTGGAAGGGCAGCGGTCACTTCTGGGGAATCTATAGGCAACAAGATATCTAACAATGTCACCAGGTGAAAGGAGCCAACACAGGACCTCATCTATCCAGATGTTAGGGAATACTCAGAGTGGAACAGGAATGTGAAGTCAGGCAGGTGGCAGGAGCCTAGAATCCACTTGACTGTTGAATGTATGCACTGCCTTTTATGGGCTCTGTCGATTGCATGTGCACACACATGCACACTCATTCATGCACCAGGCATATAAACACACATACACACACACATGCAGCCAAACGCCACACACAGAGATGGTCCTAACCCAGCCTCTCAGAACACAAATAGGAACTGAGGCCCAGATTGGAGAACTCACACCCTGGACTGTGGAACCTAGGACTGTCAGACCCCAGCCCAATGATCTTGATGGCCCATTTGAAGGTATGCTATTTAGGGTAACCACAGCACACACCCCCCACCCACAGAAAAACAGACCACCATCCCAGGAGCACCTCTCATAGAATTGTCTGCACTGTGAGTAGCACATCCTCGCTTACCAGCTATCACACCTCGGCCAAACTTTTCCCCTTCATGGAGCAAGGCCTGAATCTGCACGGGGGTCATCCCCAGCCTCTCCACCAGCAGCTCCCCCAGGACTCATCTTCCCAGTCCCTGTGAGCAATGTGGATGGCGATGGTACAGTTCTGGTGGCTACTCAGCAGGGGTCGCCAGCGCGTCTCCAGGGTCTTGACTCCATTTAAGATAAAACCAGCAAAAGGCTGACGGAAGGAGAGGCATCCAAACTTCATCTTCCTTAAGTTCCCTTGGTCTAAATAGAGATGAACATCACAGTCAGTGGGCCTGACCATTCCCTGAATAAATAGGTGCCCTGAAAAACACAGTCACTTTGACAGTTCACTGCTTCTACCTGGGCAGGAGAGTGTGTGGTGAGTGCTGTGATGGAGGCTACTGAGTCCTCCTTGAACACAGAGGAAGGTGGCTCCCTCATCGAGGTGGGGCTTGGTGGTCAAGTACACTGGTTTTAGCACACTGGGACAGTCTTGGCTCTGCTCCCTTTCCTGCCTGTGCACATCAGCACTACCAATACTCCCAGCTCCCTCTTACTGCCACTCCAAGCACTGCAGGCCCAGGTCTGCTCAGCTCTTACCAGAAGGCTGCTGAGCTCACATCCTTGTTATCCAGCCTCAACTCATCAGTTGGCATCCCCATGATCTCAAGTGGCCTTGTCTGTGTCTCCTTCCGACCACTTTGGTTGCTACCATTCTCAAATCCCCTGTTTCCCTACCTCCCACCAACATGAACCAAAGGATTGATGAGAATAAAAACACTGGCTCCAGTGCTCACAGGCCTCCTATGCGCCAGCTCTGGGTTAGATAGGATCTTGGGATGACTCAATTGAATCCTCAAAAGACCCAGTAAGGTCATTACCAGTGCTAGGCCCCTCTACAGCAGAGCTCAAGGTGCTGAGCCATTACTGCTGCAGTGGCTCAAGTGTAGAATGCCTGCCTAACAAGCGTAGGCCCTGAGTTCAAACCTCAATACAGAAAAAAAAAATTTTTAAAAAGGTGCTGAGCGATGAAGAGATGGCCCAGAGTGACAAGCTCCGATTTTATATACCTCCCACACAGGTCCTTGTCCCCTTTCTGTGTCCCTTGTAAGAGGGTGCGGGTGCTTCCCCCCTCCCCATACACACTATGCAGTGGAAAGAGCCCAGTCCTTCACCAGGAGAGCCATGTGCATGAAGCCGTAACCTCAACCCAATCTTAGCATGTCATACAGCCTCAGTTTCTACATAGCTGTGAAGACAGGAGAAGAACACTAGTCAGTACCTGGCATCTAGGACAGTCCTCAATGCTCAGCAGCATTGAGCATGGAGTCCCATCCCCTGGTTCTGTCTCCACCCATGTGCCACCCCTTCCACTTTCATTAGTACATCACTATTCTTCCTTTAAAAGTACATAAATTTAAACTCAAATATTTCCTAAAATTTTAAGAAAATGTACCCATGACCTTTCCTAAATATTTCTGAGGCACCCTCAGAAGATAAGGTCCTAGCAGGACAAAGGAAGCCAGGCATACACTCTCTACCCCAACCACAGTTCTGCCTGCTCATGCCAGATCTGCCTTCCTCCCACTTCTCAAAGCCAGTTGCTCCAGCCAAGCCTACCCTCCGCTGTGTTCAGGACTGGCTGCTTTCATGAACTCCAGGACCTCCACCTTACCACCTGACTGCTGTTGCCCAACATCCTCGCCTCCCTCCCCATGAGTATATGGATGGTTCTGCTTTCCAAGGGCAGTGTCTGCACACCCTTCACCACAAAAACAAACAAGCTCTTTTGTGAGGCCTCACCGACCTCTTGACTCAATATTTCTTCTCTAAAGTCCTCCACAGCCGAAACCAAAGAAGAGCTGTAAACACGTGGACTTTATCTCCTCTGCAAACTTCCTTACCATACAACCCCCTCCCATTTTGTTCCATCCCCTTTACTCTGCTATAACCTGGCCTCACAGGGAGTAAAGACTAGCCTTGACTATTTCTCTGTTTTATCTCACAGAAGGCCAGGAAGCCTGACCTAGCTGACCACATTCCTTCCCTCTTTCCCAGACTTCCATGGTGCCTCACTGGCCTGCTCTGCCTTCCTTCCCACAGGCCACACCTTCTTCATCTCAGCCAGAGGCCAGGCCATCACAGATTCTATTCCTCCTGATCTGCCTTATTTTTTCACTGCCTTTGGTTTCTCAGTATTGGATGTCCCATAATTGACTTACCATTGCTCTACTGATAATAGTCACGGACTGTCCCCCATTTCTCCCATGAGAAATGATACTGCCATTAACACTCTGCCACTAACATTGTCTGAAGACACGTTTAAGATGATGCCTGGGTCAGATGGAATGCCCATCTTAGATGTGGACACACATCAGCAAATAACCTTCCAAAGACCCTCACCCATGTACACTCTACAGGCTAACATTGCATTTCCTCACACACTTCTTGGCTTTGAGTGTCATCATTCTGCTGATGGGTGACAAGGTCTCACCCAACCTTTGCACTTGGATTACTTATGAAGTAAGTTTACTTCTCTCCCAGGGTCTAGCATTTTCTATTTCTTCTACTGGGAGATGTGACCAGAAAAATGTTTTCCTAATTTCTGCCACTGAAGTTTCTTAGGCTGACTCTTTTCTCATCAACATCTCAAAATCACAAGGACCAAAGGTGACCTACGTGGGTGGAACCCCTAGTGAGAACTGATGTAACTGCAAAGGTAAGAATGGGGCTGTGCCCCTCCTGCCTGGTGCAGACAGTACCTGCCTTGTGGCCTGAGGAGGAAACATCTGCTTGTCTCTGCTTCTTCAGCTACACAAGCAGAAGGGGGATATGGAGCAGAGGTCAAGTAAAGTCAGCGATACTGACTAATGGCAGCAGGAGGGTTTTTTATTCAGCAAGCACCAAGGACCAAGAAAAGCTGGGAGGGCGGGGTGGGACTGATGGGGAACACACATGTGCACCTCACTTGGGGTGTGGCTTCTTGGGGCAGTGGGAACCTCAGTCCCTGTCTGAGTCAGGGACCACATGATACACTACCCAGCTGTCTGCATTCTGAGGCCAAGCATTTACTTTCTATCAGGATAAAAATGACACCTCCTCTCACATGGTCACAGGTTAGTTTTGGGGGGTCCAAATTCCATTGGTCTCAAAGTAATCTCAGAGGACTACACAAAGCGTGATATCACAGTCCACATGGCTGGCCAACTCACAGTATGGGTTCACAGTAAGTTCCCAGTGTAAGGGGAAAACGGGGCCTGCATCCTTGGAGCAGTACACTGTCTTTCTGGCAGACAACAGGTGACCTGCACCCACACTTAGAAGGAGAGGGCTGAGACCAGTTCTGAGTCCCACAGTTAGGGGGACTTCAGCCCAAAATGCCAGTTGAGGAGAACTAAGTACACAGGCTCCACCCCAATGGGTCTGGCTCCCACCCATCTCAGGACTTCCCTACTCACGAGGACTGGGCAGACTCTTGCCACCATCCATGGGACACGTCAGTCATCTGCCTCCCGGCGTCTCAGTGAAGCCAGCAGCACCAGTAAGAATGGCTCCTACATGGGAGTTGGCAAGGATCAGGGAGAGAGGATGACGCCAGAAACACTTTGGGTTCGGACCGTGATGTTACCGGGAGGACTGCAGGTCGCTGATTGGTGACCTCAGGCATTAATACTCTGTCATCTTGTCCCCCAGCTCGGGAGCTCCTTTTATAAGAGTCTAAGCAAGCACACACACGTAAGCACGTCCGCTCGTAATTACGTACCCCCACGCACGCACAATGCATAAACACACTCAGCAAATCAGGCCACCAGTTTTGTATCCTGGATACGAAGCCACGCACTTACGTAATCACGCGCTTATGTACGTAGTGGACGCTAGGAGACGCTGCCTTAATGGCGCCGTGGCTGACGGAAGTGTTGAGTCCGGAGGCCTGAAAGGAGGAGGAGAACGGGAAGAGGAACCCTAGGGGAAGCAAAGGGGGCGGGATGAATCCTGGGGTGCGGTGCAGGAGGAGGAAGCGTTTAGAAGAGAGCTGGGTGGGGCTATGAGAAAGAAGGATGCGGGGCGGGGCTGCGGGTTGAGCAGGGAAGGGCTATGGTGGGGCGGGGGGAATGAAGTCAAATCGGGGGCGGGGCTGTGATAGCCAAGGCAGAGTCAGGGCAGATGTGGAGCCCTTGAGTGCTAGAGAGAGTTGGGGAGGGGACTTTGGGTCGAGCTGGCCTGGGCTTTGAGGGATGAGGCCACTGGAGAGCGGGCCTACCAGAGGTTCAGGGCAGAGATGAGTGCTAGATGGAGCTGGTGGAGATGCTGAGGGTGGAGTGAGTGCAGTGCTGGGGTTTGAGGGATGAGGGAAGTTAGGGCGGCGTCACTGGAGGAGTAGGGTGGGACTTTGAGGAAATGGGGTGAATTTGGGGCGGGAATGTGGTGGATGAGATAAGTAGGGGGTGGGGCTTCATCAGGCGCAGCGCGGGATGGAGCCGAGGTAGGAGAAGTGGGCGTGACTGAGTGCTGTGGAAGGAGTTGACAGAGGGGCTCTGGGAGGAGCAGCCCTGGTATGTAAAGGCTGAGGTACAGTAGAGGAGGGAGAAGCGGGGGCTGTGAGGGCAGAGGTAGGATTTGGTGGCGGAGCTCCAGAGTACCTAGACCGGTTGGGCGTGGCTTCAAGTATAGCAGGTGGGGCATTGAGGGAACAGGTAGTTGGGGGTCAGGACTTCTGGAGGAGCGGGGTAGGCCCTCAGGTGCTCAGAGTTAGGGGGCGGGGCTGCCCGAGGAGCGGGGCTGACTGTGAGAAGGTTCTAGTGGAGAAGCAGTGGATCTTAAAGCGAGGTGAGTCACAGGAAAGAGCCGAGTTGTGAGGGTGAGAAAGTGCTGGGAGACAAGGAGCAGGCTGGACTTGGCGAGAAGACATGGATGGAGCTGAAGCAGCGCCTGGGTGAGGAGAGGGGCAAAGCTTGGCAGAAATGGGCAGAATGGTAGGCAAATGAGGAGAGGGGCAGCTCAGGGGAACTCGGTTAGGAGTTGGAATCACAGGTGCTCCAGCCGGGGTCCAGAATGTAGGATCTTTGAAAGCTGAGTGGAAGAGCTAGTGCTGCATCAGGGAGAGGGGAGCTGGCAGATGAATGCTAGGACCACTAGGGGAGGAAACTGCAGAAGGGGCAGGAGGAGGGATCTTAGGGCTTGTGCACCTCATTCTTAGGCAAGAGGTAAAATGGCAAACACAGGCGCCTCAGAGACTTAACGTGACACTGAAGTGTACTCAAGGGGGCACCCCACAGGACATGGAAGTTGCAAGAAGGGCAGAAGTATTTACTTGGGGGCCAAGTATTGAACTGCAAGGCTGAATACCCTAGCCAGCTGCCAGTGTACTTAGGAGGGACTGTCTTGTTTGCAAGGTGGTTGAAAACCCCCTACTCTTATGTTCTGCTGCCACTAAGACCTAAGTTGACCAAAATACAGTCCAAATTGCCCAGCAACCTTGTTTTTCCTCTCTTCCACACCTCAGCTGGGGGCCCAGCCTTCCCTCAGGCCACTGTGCTTTCTTTCTCTGCTTCCTTACCAAGGCCAGTGTGTTTTCGGGAGGGGCAAGTTCTAGATCCCTGCCTCTGAAATATTTGTAAGAAAATATGCCCCTCCTGCATTCCCAGGCTTCTTGTCTAGTTCAGACTTCATCTGTGTCTAGGCTGTTCCCTGAGCCTCCTGACCAGCCTGAAAGCCTCCTGTATTTCCTACTTCCTGCAGGTCTTCCACACATTGATCACTTTCTAAATGGCACATCTGCCCCCATCAATCTCCTCCTGAAAACCTGCCAGTCTTGTGTTTGGTCCTAACATCTCAGGTGTCAACCCCAACCCTTCCACACTTGTGGACTAACATGGATCATGGTTATGCTGTACTGTGAAGTCCCTGGTCCCTGGCATAGCAGGCTCCACCAAGACTCTTTGACAACTACAGTACAGATTTAAGAAATCCTTGACTTTCCAAGTACTGCTCTTTGCACCAAGACCTTGCCTCCTTTCCCAAGACCACAGCACTCCCTTGGGCTTCCACCTGTTCTCTCCCTGAGGAACAGCCTGCCAGCTCACTACCCATCCCAATAGTTTTTAGAGCCTTGTCTTTGTGTTTCATATCCTCTCCTGTCCTCCACGGTAGCTGACTGGCCTCCCTGACTGGAACTGTTCCTCGCAGCTCTCTGCCACTGCACCTTTCTGTGTTCAGCACCCTGACTGCAGGCTTTCTCTTTAGCTTGAATCCTTTCCTAGCAAGCCGACTCTGTAGGCTCAGGGTGATTTCTGTGACTCTTCTCTGAACCTGTTGCCCACTTCCCTTCCCCTTCTATGTACCTTCGAGAATGCTACCACCTCACTGTACTTATTTCTCTGACTCAAAAGCCCAGGGTGAAAGTACCATCTTTTAAGGAAGGTTTGCAGTTGTTCCTGCTCACTGGTCTGGGTCTCCCTGTCTGGGAAAGTTTGACTCAGCTTCATGGCTTCTTTTCACATACTTCTTGGTTTGGTCAGTCCTCTTCCTCCTCTGGGAAATGCCTTTCATTTCTTTTTCTATTGAGTTCTTTGTCTTGTTTGTGTGAGGTGGTAGGAGCTCTTTTTGATGCCTGAGTATTAATCCCATGAAAGCTGTTTATTTCTGTTTCAGATACCTTGTCTCTGTCCTCCCCACAGGCTTCTTTCTATTTGTCTTTGCAGGGCTATTTTGGACTCAGTATTCACCTAGGTGCTCAGAATTGTAAGTAACCCAAAGGTCATCGTGTATTCCACTGGCCCTCCCTCTGAAGGTTGCATTACCTACATGGGGAGGCATGCAGATGTCCTGCCCACTGTCCCTTAGAGAGGGATCTCTTCTTTGTGCTCTTGCATTGGTTCCTACATATATTAGCTTTTGTTTTTTTGCCTGACCTCACATAGGGCCACATGAACTCACAGCCCACACCTGCTGGAGAAGCCTTGGGTAGCCATGTACTTGTGTGATGACAGGGAGCCTTGTTTTCTCTTGCTCAGCCATTCCTCACTGTTTTTTTTTTTTTAGTGTTAATGGAGTTTGAATTTGGGGGTTGTGCCTGTTAAGCAGGTACTCTGCCACATGAGTCATTTCCCCAGTCTTTTTGCCCTTCCTTCCTTCCTTCCTTCCTTCCATTGGTGTTTGAACTAAGGGCTTCATGCTTGTTATGCTTTTTACTTTTTTGGATATTTTTCTAATAGGTTCTCTCTCCTGTTTATGCCCTCCTGTCCTGGACTTCGATCCTATTTATGCTTCCTATGTAGCTAGGATGACAGGTGCACACTACCACATCCGGCTTTTATTGGTTGAGATGGAGTCTCAATAAATGTTTTTTCCCAGGCTGACTTCAAACTGCTATTCTCCTGATCTCTGCTTCCCAAGTGCTGGGATTGCAGGCATGAGCCACCTTGCCAGGTTTCCCCTGCTTCTTTTTATGAATGTTCATTTATTTCATTGAGTTCATGTTATCTCACAATCTTGTCTTGTGTTTTTTTCATTATAGTAAGTACTATCCTATATTCTGAAAGTTTCCTAAGAAAATTAACCTAACATCTCACTACCTTTCCACCCATTGTGGTGTATTTTGCCTCTCTCCATGCAAGACCAGCTGACAAATCCTCAGCAAATGAAGAATCTCATTTTGAATCTGATAACATCCTTTGTCTAGAAATGTAAGCATAGGTGTCTTCCTGCAGCCAACCTTCAGATGGAGCTTATTGAGATGCCAGGTATACACGTCATATAGGACACTGTATACAATACACCTGTTTGGTTATTTCCATTTTGCTGGTGTTCAGGGATCCAGGACACAGGCATAGGTCACTTTGGAATGTGATGCAACATCATTATAATGTCCCCTTGCCATGGTGCTACAGCGTCCTAATTCCTGGGACCTGGCCACCACTATAGTCAACAGATTACAGATCTGAAAACTGAGTTGGGGGGGGCAGAAATTGGGCAGGGTCAGTGACTGGTTTGGTGGGGTGGCCATCCTCAGCTTCCCGATCATTCATTCTTGCTCTCTCTGAGTGACCACTTGGAGCTGTATCCATGTGGGTCATGTATTTGTTGTGTCCTTGGGGAGCCATGATGTGTGGACATTCTCTTGTTGGGATTGACTAGTACTAATTTCCAGCTTCTGTCTGCTCAGTGCTGCCCAGTTCCATCCCTGGCCTATACTGCCACAGAGGAGACAAGGACTAGGACAGCAAGGGGACAAGGACAAGAGGACAAAGGTGAGGAAGAAACTACATCCTTAGCAGACTGTGGTCAGGGTGAGCATGGTTCTGTAACAGGCTCTCCTGGTGACAGCTCCTGTCTGTAGAACAGCAAGCGCTGAGCTTGAGTGATGCTGTGTCCTCTCTCTACCACATTCTTGATGTCCTTAGTGGAGCATGTGCCCTCTGAGCCCTCCTAGGGAGCATAATCACCTGGGGCTCTTTTGTACTCACCTCATCTGTGCAATTCCAGTAGTCGATTCCCTCAGCCTTGATAACCTTCTTTACTGTCTGCCCAGGGTATGCAGGCCTTTCACTGCTGCTCATCGTGGACCTTTGCTGTTTCCAGGCCTTCAGAACTGATTCCATTAGAGTGTTTATAGTATCCACTGAGGGCCTTGCCAAGGAATTTCATTGTGTTTTCCAGAAGGGCACCTTTAGTCCCTGATCTCCC